TTTTTTAAAGACATTACATAGAATCAAATAACATTATACTTTTAAAATGATATTTTGTAAAATCAATTTGAATATTCTATACTTTTGTAAAATGATACAAATCATCGGACTAAAAATATTTTAAAAATTTACATAAAAAACATTTAAAAAAAATATCTTAGTTTTTATATGTAAGACCAGAGAATCATAGAAATAATAAAATTTGTAAATATATATGCATTACTTTTCAAGAATGTAAAAACATTTCTACTATTGCATTTAAGTACATGAAAATAAATAAATAAATATTTTTCAAGAAATTACTAGTAATAAACCTTGGAATATAAAAATCCATTAATTTTTTTCCACCTATTGAATAAAATTCAAAAACATTAAAAATAAGGCAAATTTTTTGATGGTGGATAGAATCCAAGTATTATAACTTGTCACATAATGAATTAATAAAATCCAAAATATAATAAAAAAATTATGAAATTTTTATAAATATAACAACTCCACAAAATATTTAAAAAATAAGATTTCTTTATTTAATTATTAAATAGTTCTCAATTTTTTAAGATTTTTAAGATTTCTTTATTTAATCCTTAAATAGATTTAATATATAAGTAAAATATAATACGATTTGGATATAAATTATTTTATAGTTTTGTTATTTTATTAAATATAATTTATATTTAAAAGAATAAATCCCAATGTTTAACTCATATATGTATATGTATGTATATATATATATATATATATGTATGTATATATATATATATATATATATACTTACATGCATATACATAGAAAGGAACATTACATGTTAAATATTATGTGACAAATTAATATGAGAAGATAATTTTTTTGTTTAAAGACTTGTTTTTGAAAATATAAAACAAACATCTTCATTTCTTAAGGTAGTTTTTTGTGAAAAAAGGGAAATAAAGGGAAAAAAATAAAAAAATAAAAACTCAAGATTTATTATTTTTTGTTCGAGAATATGTAACTGTTTTTAGACATGATCTTTGTACTTAAATTAAGTTGCACCAACAAATTTATGTTTTGTAAAAAGCTAAAAAGAATAAATAATATGCACATCATCTTCAAAATAATTATAATCTATATATTTTTAAATATTACACAAGAAGAATAGTGTGTGTATATATATATATATATATATATATATGTATATATATAGTATATTTAAAAATATTTATAGATTTTATTTTGGAATACGTAATCTTCTTAAAGAATGTGCATCATTAATTGCATGCATCACACCAAAATCTTTACAAACAACTACAGAACAAAAGTTTAATCATAGCTAATTCTGAAACTTAAAGAATTAGATTTTTTTTGAAAGATTTTTTCTACAAAATAAAAACTAAACCATATTTTACCTAATCAAGGTTATATAAGATAATTTATGAAATTTAAAGGTAATTTTATTTATAAAAGTATAAATTTAAGTTTTTTTAAAAAATATTTATAATGAAACTTTTATTCTTTTTCCTATTTGAATGAGAATAAATTTAGTTAAAAAATAAAAGCTCTCTCATTGCGATTTACAAAAAATTAATAAAATATTAAATCAACACTTGTTTATTACTTCCTGCAAAGATACTTCTAATAAGATCACATTATATTAAAGAATTAATTTTGTATTCATAACGAACAGATATTATTTAAATACATATAAGTATTACTTAAAGTTAATGCATGTCTTTAAACTATTGGTTACATAAATATGGATACCCATATGTATCCATATAAAAAGATATGAATTTTTAATATATTGTAATAATTCTTAATGTATAAAAATTACTACCAATTACCTTTAAGTAAAAAATAACAATTACCACTGATGTAAGCTTTTATAAATATGTTTTTCATCAAAATAAAATTTATTAATAATTTTAAATTTAAAATAACGTGATTGATTGCTAAAATTTAGTTTTCATATTATTTATGATAATAACATCTATTTAAATATTGTGTCCTTTGGTTGCTTTTAAAAAAGAGTAACATATTTTATAGGATATTTTATATGATACTATTAAATATTTCGAGAAATATAATTTATTATTTTAAGAAAAAAATATAAAAATTAAAAATATATTAAAAAACATGGCTAAGTTAGATTTAGATTTTTTTTTATGTCAATAAAAAAATTAATAATTTAATTATTTATTTCAAACTGCTTATTTAAAGCCTAATCTTTCATTCTAAACGGTTTGACAGTAGAACTAAAATAATTACTTTAAAAAAAAAATCAAAGTTCTAATTAATAAAGCTTTAGGTCTGCATGGAATTAGAACCAAAAAACTAAATAACTTTTGTTATATTGTGAGGTATACTTGTTTTCATCTAATTAAAAATAAATAAGTCTTTAACAAGCAATATATTTTCGAAGCTACAATGTAGAATATAAGTTTTAATAAAAAGAAAAGAAAAAGAATATATATATATATATATATATATATATATATAATATTTATTCTACAGAACTTCAAATTAGAATATACTCAAAACTCTGTAAATTCATTGATCCAAATCACAAATTTTATAAAATAACTAATTTTAGACAATATAATACTATTTTATGAATCTACTAACTAAAATTACCATGTAAAGTTATTTTTCACAAACAAAATTTAGAATTTTTTAAAACTTATAATTATATCCTATAAGATTTATTTTTAAATCCATAGAGGCTTTTAGTATTTGCCTTGAATTTATCAAAATTAATTGATTTTTTTTTTGATGCTAAATATAAATTAAGCATCAATAGGTTTGTTTTCTCAAAGCACCTAATTCAACAAGGTAGTGAGTTATTTGTCATCTTTTTTAATTCTTTATTAAATTTCAAACTTAAAAGAACAAAATCTATTGATTTTTCACTTGATAAATATGTTGTTTAAAAAGACCTAAGATCAATTTGTAAAAATTAACTACTTCATAATATTCTTAAATTTCTTAATTTTCATTGATTAATATTTACTAATATAATTGACTCAAAATTTTAAGCTAAGCTTTGATTATAGCTCTCTTTTTGCCTAGGCCTTACCTCTTTAATGGTTGATAGTTTTTTTATTTAAAAAATATAAAGTAATTAAAATATTGATGTCCTATTAGACTTAATTTAACTAAAAATATATTTAAATTAAGCCATATCATTCTAATTCCTATTCTCTAATTTATGTTGGTCAAGAACAGATCTTTTAAATCATAAATTCTACAAAGCAATTGAGTAGGATGTTTTTATGGATAGGACAAAAAATTGATACCAAAATATGAATTATTTACAAAATTACAAGTCAATGTATGCAAATTAGTAACTTAAATGTATTTGATCTTAAGAAAAATTTAAATACTTTGGTAGTCCAACAGATGCTCAAAGCTATTAATCTAAATAATTTTCTTACTTAATATTAATTTTTTAAACTTAAATTATTCAATATTTCAAGAGATTAAAAAAATAGGATCTAAATATGCATTGGATAAAAATATCCTCTTAATAACTTTCTACACAATCAAAGGTCAAAAAAATATGATTAAAGCTTTAAAATGAATGATATAAAAATACATATATGATTAATACTCTATTTCTATAATAAAATCAGCCCAAATTTTAATTGCATAAAAAACCACTATTTTAAGACTCATTACTATTTGTTTCTATAAGGTTAATACATACAATGTCATTAGTATAATTAATTTGAAAGTTTATTTAAAAAGATGTAGCTACTACTAAGTTTAATCTTCTTCCATTAAAAAAACATATGTAAAATATATTATATTCTGGCAAACCTCTTTAAAATAAAAAAATCTAATTTAAAAAAATTAAAGTTAAATATTAGGTGGTATCAATAAATTTCTATTAATTAAAAAACATTCCTTGATTATAAATTCTTAAGGAAAAGAACATGAAGAAAAATAAAAATATTATTTTCTATAGATTAGAATATTTTTTATAATACATATTTTGCTAGTAAAACATCCTCCATACTAGAAAAATACTATGTTTTGATAAGTTGATTAAGTTTTATAGGATTCTAGATTTAATAAATTAATAAATTATTTATTTGAAGATTAGTATTTGGAGATGATTCTGTTTGTATCTTTGATATAAATGCATTATGGACTTTTCTTATTTTATGCAAGTATAAAAATGAAATTTAATTATTTTGGCTTTGATTACTTGAGGTTCAACTCTAATTGTAGCAACATTGTACTACAACCAATATTTTTCTATTCTACTCTAGTTTTAATTTTTCTTTGAGCCATAGCATTCTCACTCTGAAAAACCTATCAAACTGTCATTGTCTCTTTGAAGTACATTTTCCGTGATGAATCCACATTTCTAATAATATAAAAAATAAAAAAATGAAAACAGTCTAACCAATTTTATTGATCAAACAATAAAATATAATTAAAAAATTCACTTTTTTTAAGTCATTATAAAAAAACCACTACTACTACTACTGCTACAAACATATCATTTGAAAATAATTTGGCAAAAACTAGTGTAGCCTTATCTAATGTAGCAACTACCTAAAAAGACCAATTTACAAAAATAAAACCAAAACTTTCTAATTATTTAAACTACTTGAGCTATTTAAAATAAGAAGATAAATTTTTTTCAAAATTAAATTATATGTAATTTTTTGTTGTTGTTGTTGTTGTTGTTTCTTTTTTTTTTTTTTTTCTTTTTTTTCATCAAGTCGCTGCCCGCGTAGACAAGGAAAGTGTCAAGAGCTGCCCGACTCCGGCGTCGACAGTCCCTCGGCCGCCCCATCCGAAATGATGACGTGGACAAGCCCCCCCCCGCCCCGCCAGCCCGGTGCCGTCTCCGACACAACACCCGCGCTTCACCAAGCCCATCACCGTCCTTGTGACCCCATCACCGCGCCCTCTCCCGCGCAATGACCAATGCCATCGCTGCTGCGTCGCGTGGCGTGGCGAAGGAGCCCGACGCAGATTCTCCGTGGCACCCACTTTTTTCTTATTTCATCTCCCCCACTCCTTCCCTTTCTGTGCACACACCACCACTGTGGTCGTCGTCGTCGCTCGCTCCCTCCCTCTCCCTCTCTCATAGACGCTCTTCTCCTCGCGTTTTGCTGCATGGACTTGCATGCGAATGATCAGCCTCATCGCCTCAGCTCTTTCCAAGCTTCCCCTCTCGCTCTGACATGATTTAGCTCCTCCTGCGATTTGTTGCGCTTTTTGACGAGTATGTAGGATTCGGGAATGCTGGTAGAGATTGAATGTTGGCAGTAGTGGTGACTTGATTGTGGGTGGAATTTGGGCCCCTGTGCGCTCCGGGGAGCTGAGGACTGCGATGAGGAAATAAGTTTGGGTCGTGGGCGATTCGTGCACCATGGGATGAACAAAGTTTCGTGTGAGTGTGTGTGTGCGCGCGCGCGCGTGACTTGAGTTTGAAAGATTTGTTTCGGTGATTGTGGAGGGAGATCTCGTCGCGATTGGTAATGCTTGCTAGCTGTGTTCTTCATTTGTGCATCAATCAGAGGGATCGAATTAGGATTTGAGTGAGGGACGGTTGGTTTGAATTTACCCTTTGCCAAAGAAGTGGCGATGCGGTGAGCACTTTAGAAATATAATGACACTGGTTTTCTGGAGAATTCCATTTGAGTGTAGTTGCAACAGAGAGTAGGAAACGCTAAGTTTGGCAGGAAATCCTAAATCGTATCGGAATCAGGCTAGCTGCTACAAGATTGAATCTAGACATTGTGTATGATGCAGACGGAAATTGGAAACAAATTCGTGAGGTTAGCAAGGAATTCGCAGACACATCTGAACGAGTAAGGAACATGAGGGCCTGAGAAGACAAAAGGAGAGTGAAGAGCCAGGATGCAGGGGATGAACAAGCGAAGTTCGAAGACGCCGACGCCATCGCCACACAGAATGCGTGTGAAGCGGGCCATCATGAGCATACGAACCCCTACAATGGCCATGCCCAGCTGGAAGGTTTTCGACAACCATTTGTATGATGGTAAAGCCAAGGCTAGTAGCAAACAACCTCCAGCGTCGGCACGGAAACTTGCGGCAACGATATGGAACCTTCAAGACCTTCCTCTTCCTGCTTGCCTTCCTGCCTGCCTCAACAGTCCCAACTGGGGCACTCAAGCATATCAAACAGGCGTTACGGACAGTCCGTTCTCTCAGCCCGACTACGTATTCACTCCAGAGACCGTCAAGACAAGCAAACCTCGCCCTGGGAAGGTTTGTTGCACGCAATCGCTACTGCGATTACCCAAGTGTTCCATTGAAAGTTTGTCTGAGGGATTCCACTGTCTTGGTTGAGAATTCACATTGATGTCGTTGGGTTTGTTACAGCAGAATGGTACAAATGGGAGCCTTCAGAGTCTGCTGCAAAAAAGCGGCTTGGAGCCTGATGACAAGACTGCACGTAGTTCCACTCCGGTAATTTACCTTGAGGGATCATCTCTAATTCGGTGAATAGGTTGGTTGAGCAATCCGTCTGCGTTGAACGGTTTTATGTTCACTTGCATCTGCCGAATCCATTTTATCTTATCAAGCTCAAATGGGAGGAGGATTTATGGGGACTTTGAATTCTGAAGGTCTGTTTGGTACTCAGGTTGACAGGGAGAGACACATACCATGTCATTCCTTCACTAATCCATGGAAGGGCGAGGGTGAGGATGTGCTCAATGTGACCAGCACAATGTCACAGGAGCTTTTGAGAGTCTTCAATCAAATACGCCTGCTGGAGGAGCAGCACAACTCCAGCCTTCATCTGACGAGTACGTTGCAAACAGAGCTAATGGAAGCCAACGCTCGATTAAAAGAGCTCGAACACCCTCACAAACTAGCGCGACGAGAGGCACGACGAGACGCACAACGAGAGGTCGAAGAGTTAACGAGGAAATTCTCTAATGAGAAGATGGCCTGGAAAGCGAAAGAGGACAAGTTCAAAGCTATGATACAGTCTATGAAGACGGAATTGGACGACGAGCGGACGGCAAGGCAGAAGGTCGAAAGTAACAACCACAAATTGACGAAGGAGCTCATAGAGGCGAAAGCGGCGACCGAAACCGCTCTCCTAGAGCTCGAGAGTGAACGCCAGAGCAGGCAGCACATAGAGGCTATGTGCAACGACCTAGCCCACGAGAACGAAGACGACAAGGCGGTTGTGGAGGAAATGAAGCGCGAGTCACAGCGAGTACGGGAGGCCCTTGAGGAGGAGCGGCGCATGTTGCAGATAACTGACGGCTGGCGAGAGCAGAGTGTGCGCATGAGATTCAGTGAAGCAAAACTAGCACTTGAAGAGAAGAGTGCCGCTTTGGACCACATGCGGATCCAACTGGAATCCTTCTTGCGAGCCACGCAAAATGGCAACACCGCCACCTTGAGAGATGCCCAAGTTTTGCACAATGTCATCACCACCTTCCACCATAACCACTCCCTCTTCTCCTTTCCCCCCAGCCCTGAATGCATGGATGATGCTGCTCTTGAAGGGGATCCGAGCCAGGAAAAACGAGAACATGAACGCGACATGTTCTACTATCGAGAATGTACATAGCGTGATTAATTAAGGATTAGGTTGTACAGATGCACTGCTAAGGAGGTGATGTAATTACGTTGAGATTGAGATTCCAACCATATTTCCGGTAGAGATCGTTTTCCAGTTCGTATGAGACAGCAAAAACGTGTTTTCTGTCGAGGTTCACATGCTAGCCAGTCACGATATGTTGTACACTGACTCCTGAAACCGAAATTGTCCAGATTTCTAACATCCCTTTTAGAAGCGAAGTCAGGTAATATCAATCTAAAACCTCCAGGATTGTGAAGTAATATGCAGCCAACGTGGTGTTGAATCTTTATAAGAAAAAAGAAAAAAGATTTAAACAGGTTGACACTGTTGAAGATCGCAGAGCGAGACCTCTCTCATGCAGATTCACGTAGCTGAAAGGCTGAGTGGACAAAACTTAACGGCAATTTTTGTGTTCGCATGACCTGAGTTTGTATTGCATCCAGTGCACACATTCATCTACCAGATTGTGATCAGCACTCCACCTTCAGACAGTATTCGGGTCATCATTCTTACCGAAAAGCCCTCGCATCTGGGCAGGACCTTGATCATGAATGAATTCTCGTCATATTTCCTCCAACTGCCTTGCGTGGAGACTTTCCACTGAACAGATAGGGTTTTGAAAATTTGCAGTGTCTGTAAATGATGAGATGGTGTCCTCCCCTGAGACCAAACCTAGCCGAATTCTAATTATTTGGGATGATTGTGGCAATAAAATAAAATGAAGTAATCAAAAACCCCTAAGCTGATTATCTAATACATTGTCTTATCTGGTCCATCCTCGATAGGAATACCAACTTTGGTTGGAGGTGCTAGTGGAGTAGTGATTAGAAAACTCGATGACAACTACGATTCCCCCTCCAAAATTGTTGAAAGCCTGTAGGAGCAAGGCGTAAAAACGGAAATTCCTAAACATTCTTTAGTAAACGACAAAGTTCGAATTCTGCATGCTCATCAACAAATATGAGAAGGGTAAAACCTGAACTGCAACACAATAACTCAGGTTGGATACAACGTGGGTGTTAATAGTAGTATCGATAACACAATAGCAGGTTGCATACAACTTGAAAAACCCACGTATTTGAATATTGACCGTCACATTTTGCAGAGCCTTGAAATATAGCTCTGCTAGTGGTACTGCGTTCTGTAATTGGAGGAGTCGTAGAACCTGGCCTAGCAAAATCAGTGAGAAGCTTCGCATGCGTGCTGAACAACCACTACTCACACCCTGCTTACATGCCCACTTTTCAATCCGTCCACAGTGCAGCTCAGGGACAAACGTGACGTTTTCAACTTGTAAATTGCACAAAGCTACTTATAAAACTTATCAATGCCTCCAGGCATTATATAGTTGCACAAGAGTAGGTGGCAGCCTCTATTGTTGGAGCTTTCGGACCTATTGGCACTGACGCCTCAATCCTATTAGCAGCGTCTGAACTAAGTGTACTTCGTCCTACAAAATTATTAGCACGCAACAGAAAGTACAAAACCATCTAAAAACCCAACCAAAAACCCAACCAAAACAATGTTGGACTAAAGTGTAGCTGGCGTCAAACATAGATTTCAAATGCTTAAACCGGAAGTGTGAAGTCGAATTGTGAAGACTGCATCTTGCAACTCTCACCTTCTAGTTTCCAATCATTGACGCAAGTGTCGGCGTGCATCAGGATGCTTCCTTGTCGCCTTAATTGCAGCTTTTTCATGACTAAGTGATTGATAGATTCTAATAACAAGAGAATCATTTAGAATGCTTGCAAATGAGACTTTACTTTGCATGATAACGCGTCGCCAAATTCAGTGCTGTAAGGAGACTGCATTGGAGACCACAATGTGTCGGTAGGGCCTCCCATCTGAGCTGCACAAATAGTTACAATTTTGAATGAGAGAGTAGTAAATCAATATTGAATGATTACAATTTAATCAATATTAAATAGTTACAATTTTGAATCAGAGTGTAGTGAATCAATATTGGGGATTTCATGTGGTCCATTATTAATTAAGATGGTGGTATATTCCCACAAGTGATGCCCCTTATTCAATACTACCTTGGAAAATGGAACTTAATAAATAAAAGTGCCATGCTTTTATTGGAACTTGAAAAACATTGTTGCATTTTTGTTGTTTAGTTGAGATTAGCTATGTTAGAAACTTGGTGATGGCGATTCTTTTTCCAAGCAAACTTCTCCTTCTCTCAATTAATTTTGTTTCATTTTTTGAGGAATGTTTTTGTAGAGAGTTCTTGAATATAGGATTCTTAAAAGTTTGTTCACCAACTTTTTTTATTTTTTAAAATTTATTCTTTATTTTTTTGAGATAAAAATATTACTATTTCTATGCTACTAATAGAATATAATATGAATTATTTTATGGAATAATCATAGTTCTTTCTAAAATTCATATGTATTCTATGATTTTTCAGTGTTGAATTGATTGTAAATTCATTCACAAATATGGTTTTGTTGCATGATTAAAAGAGCTCTAAAAGAATATGTAACAAAAATAGTTAGTTGTTTACAATAATTATCTTCAAAAGACAATTTTTATGATTAAACATTGATAAATCATTAAAATTTGAGAGCTCATATATAATATTTAGGATTTTTTTGAATACATGTTTTTTTTTTAAAAAAATTTAATTAATTTCTTATGACATAACCAATCTAAGTTTCTAAAACCATAATAATATACACATATAAGATTCCCCAATAATATTTGTCACTTAAAATTTTGTTTGTTTGTGTTGAGATACATTGGTGACATTTGGTGGTGGTTCCTATACAAATTTTATTAATTTTATAATTACCATAATGAATATTTTAATTTGTCTTAGCTTAAGAATAAATCAAATATTCCTCTAACTTTAATGTTTATATGTAATGGCTATAATGAAGAAAATAGAGTTTTATTTTTATTTTTTATTGTAGCAAGTCTTCAAAATACAAACATAAACTATTCGTCCAAATGATGATGCACCATAATTGACATTGTTTTTTTTTTTTTTTTTTTTTTTTTTTCCTATTTGAAATAGTAAGCTATTAAAATTCTTGAGATTTAATTATGTATTAGTTTTATTTGGTTTATTTTTAAAAGGAACGTCTCCAGCTTTAGAGAAGCACAATTTATCTTATTATTTGTCATCTCAACAATCATAATTTTTCAAATAATTTACAAATCAGCATAGAATTACTTAAATGAGTTAATTAGATTGAAATGTGTAAAAATAAAAATATTGTTTTAGAGAAAAACTGTTAATTAGAATAAAAATAATTAAATTATAAAAAAAACTAAATCATTAATAATGTTTTAAAATTAAAAGATAAGATTTTAGATATTTTACAGCATTAAAAATGATATGATTACGAGGCACCTAACTATATATATATATATATATATACATTAGATTTTTCACAACTTTGAGTTGCACTTTTGACATCACCAAGGACACACGAGATCATATGTCACTTCATTAGTACTCAATGAATTGAAATAAATTGGTGAGGACATTTGTGAGCAAGAGTGAGAGACGCTACGAGTTCCTACCCCCAAAAAGAAACAAAGAAAGAGAATGAAATTATTACGAGGCACCTAAGTACAAGATGCTTGAACGGTTTTCCAGAAACTCTGACTGATAAATAAATCTACGACAGAAAATATTTTAGTATTTAGGACATATTTTTGGAAGATCATGCGTTCATGCGGTCATAATCTAAGTCATTATTTATAAAAGAGCTCACAATCATAGAATGATTTTGGCGTGTACTCTGCAAATTTACAATCGAAATAATGAACAGTAATCTTTGATTAAAGAGAATATTGGAATTACAGAAGTAGAAATTCCCATACTTCATCTCTGTATGTACACGTAGGTTCCCAAGCTAGGGAAGGACATGCACGACGAGCCAGTCAAGAATGTCAAAAAATGGTTAGGTATATCTTACACCAGCGGTTCCAGAAGCTCTTCCATCTCCGCAGCCATCTGGGTACCACCTCCCTCGCTGGATCTTCTACGATTGCGCAACCACGGACAACACATATCTAACAAGCTCAACCCCAATCTGTATTCTTTCCTACTCTCATTCTCTTCCAGTTGTTTGTTCAATTCTTCCAGCCTTTCTCGCAACTCAGCTGCCCTTTCATCCGCCATTTGAAGGGAGCGCTCTGCCGCAGTCCTAGCTGCGATAGCTGCTGAAGCCATTTCTTCTTTAGACCGTACTTTCAATGCAGCTTCCTCTCGTGCGATTTTGAGTCCGTCAATTTGTTTATTGAGTTGGGACACCTGAGAGGGCATCGTCCGAGCGTGTTAGACCCTAATTTGTGTATACTAAGGAGGTGCTTCCTATGAGATACATACTTCTGCGAGAACTAAATTACTAATTGATGTTCATACTGATAAGGCAGTGTCAAATTAATCATCCTCAAAAAATCCACCAGTAAAATACAGCTCCAAATATGGAATAAACTATAATCACCTCAAATTGACATTTCTCAAGATCGTCCATGACCGCAGCTCCCGCAGCAGCCTCGTCTGTGGCAGCCTGCTTCCATCGACCTACTTCCTCCTCCAAAGCCTCGATATCTGCAGTGTAATCCTCCATCTGTAAACAAAATAAACATCATTAACTGGTTTCAGAACCACTGCTAAGAATAAATTTCAAAGTGGCCAATTTGCACTCCAAAATCACTACCAATACTGGCAATTGATTGATGTGATAAAAGGCTCATGCTACTTTGCTTCTGCCAGAAGGTCAATTTGATTCAGCATCGTAAGACGTGATGACTGGTCCACAACCAGAAGAGAAATAGGCACATCTTTATAATGCTGAAAATTTTCAAGTACAATACATCAGTTCCGCGACAGATAAGTTCCTATACAAAAACAGAACGATTAAAAACTTCTACCGCAACTTAAAAACTATCAGCAAAATGATTAAATAAGTGAATAAAAATTAGTATGCACCTGCAACAGTAAGTCCTTGATTCGTACTACTTTCTCAGCCAGCTCTTTAGACTGAGTATTTGATAATGTCTTCAGTTCTCCAACTTCTGACCTGTACAACCCAACATATCACCGGTTGGATGAATCAATTCCAAGCCAACTAACTTCGGCATGGGCCCAATACATCGTCTCTCTTGAGTGACTTGAGATCATTCTATGTCTAGAAAAGTAGAACATCACACAGCTAATTCACAACGCTACAATAGTCAGGTGCTGTAAACTAAAAGAACAAAGATTTAAGTGAATACCTTGATCCTGTTAGAGCTGTTTCAAGTTCTCCAATTTGCTGCCTCAATTTATTCACTTCACTCCCCAATGCAGTCACCTGCAAGGCAAAAGGTTAGCTATATTGCATGCGGTATAGTTCCACAAAGTAATCACACAATGCAGTGAAAGGATTTTAGGCCCCGATGACGCACGACAAATGGCACGTATCCAGGAAACGTTACAACGATTTAACTCTGACAGCATCTGAGAGTCGCTTTCCTCAAAAGCTTTACGGTTTAAAAAACAAGGCCTACAACACCACAAAAAAGATGAATGAATTATGCATGGTCATGGCGGATTAAAATAAGATGAAATAAACCCACCTTTGATAAAGCTTCGTCTCTACTCTGTCCCAATGAGGACAGCTCAGCCCTAAGTCGAACAAGTTCTTCATTCTCTTCTTCCTCGTCAGACATTTTCCCTCTCTCTGCCAACTCTTGGGCCTCCTTCAAGGATGCCTGCAGTCTTGCCACCTCCAGATTCTCTTGACTAAGTTTTACTCTGAGGTCCGAAATAGTTTCCAGCACTTGTTGCTTCTCAGCCAAAGCGACAGTTAACAGATCAGCGGCATCCTGTTTCTGCCCCACCAGTCTTTCTATTCTGGTTACAAGCTCGTGACTAGTTTTCTCCCAGTCCTCAGTCTTTTCTTTCCATGCGATTCCTGCGCTTACACCTAACTCTAAAAACGATTTCATCTCTACTAGGCACTGTTGAGGCAGACTCTGTTTCTCGTCAACAATCCCTCTTGAAGGCGCAGATGATATATTATCCAAATCCTCTGGATCAGCAGGTGGATCCAACTCATGAGGTAGTTCCAGCAAGCATTTACGAAGTTTGCTACCACACTTCAGTACTTCTCGAAGCATCTCCTTATGCTGGCCAGCCTCATGCTTGAAGTTCTGCAACAGGGCCTCGACCTCCTGGATGGACTGTCGTAATGTACTAGCTTCGCCCTCAGCAGAAGCAAGTTTCTTAGAGAACGTTTCCTCCAATTCCAAAATCTTATCGTCCTTGATTTTAGCCTGTTTCATCCACGCTTCAGCTTCCGAGGTCTTATTCGCTACATCCTCTTTCAACCGCGAAATTGAGGCTTCGAGCTCAGACACCTCAATGGCAACACTGTACGTGTGCTGCTCCATCTGCTCTCTAACCTCCCGGTGAGCCTTCGTCGCAGCCTCCCTCTGCCTCAAAACCTCCTCTACAATCTCTTCCACCCGTTTCCCAAACCCAAACGCAATAGCTTGCAAACCCGTATACTTCGACCCAGGCAAATTACGTCCAAAACTCTTGACACCATTAGCCATGGACGTGACCTTCTCATTGGCACCGATAAGTAACCTGGCAACCTCTCCGATCTCCATCTTCAAGGAATCCCTCGCCCTGCTAACCTCGTCCCTAGCACGCAAACTCTCATCCCGCTGCATCCGAACCTCATCCCTATCGCGTGCAATTTCCTCCTTCTGCCGCACAACCAATTCCAAATCTCGCACGGACTGATCCCGAGCCCGGTAAGCTTCGTCTCGTTGCCGTGCGGCCTCCTGAATCAACGTCTTCAACCGGAGAAAGTTTGCATCCCCCTCCGCTTTCGCGAATTCCAACGTCTTCCTCGCCTTCCTCTCCGCTTCCAGCTCCGCCTCGAGCTGCTTCACGGTCTGTCCCTCCGTCTCATCCTGCTTTTGCTCCTCCCCCTTCTCCTCCTCCTTCTCCTCCACGGCCGATCCTCCCCCCGAGGCAGCAATCGGAGGCAACTGCACAGGGGCAGCCTCAAGCTCTTCGTCCTCGTCGAAATCGCTCAAGGCTCCCGCGTCTTCCCCGTCCGCGCTCCCCATCGCGCCTCCAAACCCTGCCCGGGTGTTCACGCTCGCATCCACGGCGTGCGACGACGCTCAATCGCTCCGACAAAAACCTTCAGACGCATTGAGCGATGAATCAATCGATCGATCGATCTGTCGAGGTAGAATGCGCTGACAAGTGACGACGATGACGATGAAGACCTGGACGAAGGGGACGAAAACGACGAAAACGACGACGACGACGACGACGAAGCAATTAGGGTATGAAACCCCCCACCTTTCCTCCTCATTCTTGCCCTTTTTTGTCGCATATTTAATTCTTCATGGCCTATTTTCCCTAACCTTAATTCTCTAATGACCCCACTTCCAATTTTTGGTTATATATATATATATATATATAATGTGACATCAACTTATGTTACTTTCAATTGGAATGATTTGAAGGGTCAATCACTAATAAATTATTTTTAGAGTATTTTAAGCTTACAAATTAGAGAAGATGAATTTTTTTGTTTATATGTTCATTTGATTTGAGATTTTGAATATGTCCAAATTTATTTTAATAAATATATTTACTTTGGTAATTCAAGGGTGATGAAAATAATCCAAGTTAGACAAACAGTGACAAAGAAAGCCCAAATAAGGAACAATTGACTTAAAATAATTTATAAATGAAAATCAATTTGTTTTTATCTTGTTACATTTTATTTTCAATCCAAGCACCAAATTGGTGGTAAGATACTTCTTTGCTATGCACATCAAACTTTCTAATACTTATTCTACTCTTGAAAATGAGTAATTTGTATTTAAGAAAGAATTTTTCCATTGCATGTTTCCTTTGTGCTTGTAAACTTGAGAGGCACCAAGTACATGGCTAGCAAGGGAAAAACCCTCACCCTGTTTTCAACCCTAAATTAAGGGAATTGATATTTTCATCCCATCTTTTCATTATTTCTACTCCATTCCTTCGTAATCCATGGATTTCATAATTATTTCTATTTCATCTTATGCACCAATCACTTGTATCTCACATCATGTATTGCATTTTTTACATCACGCTTTTTATATCAACTCAACTATTGAATTTGTTGTACATACAATTAAACTTCTTTAATATGGAGGAGTCCGTCAAAAACACTAGTGTTGCTTCTTAAGGAAAGCTTCTTACTTTGGAAATAAGTAACAATAGTCCATGCTTTAAATGTTGTGGGCATGTTGCTCTATTTGCTTCTTTTTTAAATTTTTGTGCATTGTTGTTGTGTAGTTGGTTGTAGTTGGTTGTAGTTGGATACCAATAATAACAAGATATTCAAAAGCTGCCATAAGATGGTGGCTTCTCATGTAGAGTATTCTACAATAGAAATAAGTCAAGACAAAGTGAATATCCTAGTCAAGTATCATGTAGAAGTGCTCCATGTATCAATTCATGTACTTGTCTTTGTCATTCTATTATGTTGTTATTGCAGTTGGACACTAGAAGACGTTTAAAATTTATAATGAGTTGATCACTTACATGTGCAATCAATGTGCGCAACATGGCTTTAGTATCTCAATCTTGCATTGAAACAATAGGTTGCGTATTCTTCTGGGATGTAATTAAAGCAATAGATATTACAACTACTTGAATTTCAATGTTGAGGACTGCAAATGTTTAACTAGTTTGTACTTGGTTGGATGTATTTGGCAAATTTAAGCACAAACTTGACATTTAGATGGCCGATGGATGTTCATTGCAAGAAATATGTCAAACATATATAACCACAAGCCATCTATGGATTTGGCATGACATCTTAGCTTGTATTGATTCAATGCAAAAGACAATGAAGATGTTAAAAAACTTATGTTTGTGGGCATTCCAATCCACCAAAGACTTGTAATGCTCTCCAAAGAAAAGCCTTCAATGCTTACAACTTTGCATACATTCTACAATGCAAAGACGAGCATTTGTTGTGAGCAATTGGCTAGATGCACCTCCATTGAATTATTGATAGATACCCTTGAGGATAGCATATGGAAATGGCGGGTGTAATATGATACTGAAGGGCATATGACACAGTTCTTTTTTGTGCATTCATAATCAATTGTAATGACCAAATAATACCTAAATATCTTCATACTTGACTGCATATACAAGATCAATTGCTTTAAGATGTTGCTCTTAGCACCGATTGCTCAGATTAAACAAAATACTAGTTTCTTTTTCTTATTTACTTTTTTTGCAAAGGATGATACAAGTGATTATACTTGGGTGTTGCATCAAATATGCAATGTCATATTAAACAATCAGGGCATATTAAGCACAATTATAATCAATTGTGATCTCACCTTAATGTTAATCGTTAATCAAGTATTCTTATTAGCTAAAAATCTGTTATGCTATTAGTGTATTGATAAAAATCTCATAACCAATTATAAGAAACATTTTGTGGACTAAGAAGAATTTGATAATTTTTTAAAGGCATGGATTGCAATTTGTTGGTACAACACTATGGCATTATTTGATGCTCAATGGTGTGCTATGGTATCCACATATGGAGCAACAAGCAAACCAACTCTGTACCTAGATAACACATAGATGCTCCACAAGGAGCACTTTGTTAATGCATGGACTTCAAAAATGCTACATTTTTTGAATACAACTACTTTAATTGTCAAGGATTTGCATGTCGCTTTGAAAAAATACATTCAAGTTTCAATTAGAGATCTAAAAGTTGTTTGAGAATGGATTGCTTAGATCTTGATTTTACAAGCGACAAGGTTTATAATGGCGATTTCTAGTGAATGCGTCCATATGCCACATGACTTGCAGATGTATAACCTTTCAACAATGATTGGCCATATTATGATATTTGCATTGCAAAAGATTAAAGATCAACTAGAATATCTAACCAATAGCCATTCATTGCATACATAGGATGGAATCTTTTGATAGACCATAGGTCTCCCTTTGTCATGGACATACATTGGAAGATTCTTCGAATATTCTTCTAGAATATTATCTAAAGATTATCTAAAGATTCCTTTAGAAGGTTTTAGAAGATTCTTAGAATATTCCCTAAAGATTTTCTTAGAAGGTTCTAGAATATTCTTAGAAGGTTCTAAAATATTCTGATAGATTCTAGGAAGTTGCTCGAGAAATTTCATAATTAGTAGAAGTTGTTGGAGAAGCGTCCTAGTTAGCGGAAGTAGCTCGAGAAGCTTCCTATTCAGTAGTATATATAGGAGTCGAGGCTGAAGGGTTCTTCAGTCTCGACAACACATCTCTTGGAGTTCTAGCTCACCTTTCTGGTGTTGTTCTTGTACTCATCTGTTTAATCTAGTTCTGCCACTTCTTCTTGAACTTCTTGTTAGATTTCAAGTCTGTATTTTGTGTCCGTGACAGTTTGTCGAGACTGCATTTTCACTGGTATCAGAGCTAGTTCCTTCTTGTTAGAGAGTGGATTACCCCTCTTCTTGAAGGTGTGCTAGTGTTTTAGAGGTTGCGGATTACCCTCCTCTAAACTGATATCTCTTCTTTCTCAATATTGGAGCCTTATTCTTCTTGGAGAGAGTGGATTACCCCTCATCTTGGAGTCTTAAGGCGTTTTAGAGGTTGCGGAGTACTCTCCTCTGAACCAATATTGTCCTCTTGTCAAAACTCTTTTTTCTTCTTTCTGAAGGTTAGCCGAAGGTTAAGACGTTAAAATGGCTGAAAGTTTGGAATCCAAACTAGACGCCATCATAAATGCTCTTACCTTGTTGTCACATAGGACAACAGAGATCGAAGGAGTCATGGTAGGACTCCATAATAATGGAGCATCTGGGATAGCGCCATCTAAAGCATATCAGCCTCAAACTTCTGCGCCAGAAGAAGCAGTTCTACCTTCAGTTCAACAAGATCGAGTAGTCCTACAACGAAAGGAGCCTCGAGTTAGTCTTCCGGATAAGTTTGATGGAACTCGTTCCAAGTTTCGAGGTTTTGTCAACCAAATCAGGTTGATAACAATTTTACAGCCCGAACGTTATCCGACGGAGGAAGCGCGTGTTGGGCTTGTTGGAACCTTGCTTACAGCACAAGCTCTGTCTTGGTTTACTCCCTTGTTCGAGAAGCGATCGCCAATCCTGAGCAACTTTGAAACGTTCTTGGAGGCGTTTGCAGAAGCATTTGGCGAGCATGATAAAGTTCGATGGGCTACAACAAAGATCCGATCGCTACGACAAGGAATACGCTCTGCATCAGTCTATGCCTCGGATTTCAGACAATTGGCAAGTGACATTAATTGGGGTGAAGAGGCGTTGGTGAGTCAGTTTTATTGGGGCTTCAAGGATGATGTGAAGGACTTGCTGTTATCTCTTCCTGATCCTCAAACGCTCAACGAAGCTATTAGCCAAGCTGTAAAGTGTGACAACCGCCTATTCCAACGTCGCCAAGACCAACGTCCAAGACACCAAATGACTCGTTACGACGTGACTATGTCTGCAAATAGCTTAAACTCACATTCGGAGGCAACAGACATGCAAATCGACACGGCGCGTGTCCGATCTCTTACTCCAACAGAGAAGAAACGGCGTATGAAGGAAGGGTTATGTTTGTACTGTGGAGAAGAAGGTTACAAGGTTGGAAATTGCCCAAAGAAGCAAAATTGGCACCCTGTCAAGACTAGAAGTGCGATGATTTCGGAAAACGACGACGCCTAGCCACAGTAGGAACCGTGCGGCTAGACAATCTAATATCACGACAACAATCAGGTTCCTCCTTCTCTGTCCAACCTGCCCGTTGCTTTACAATTCCTTTGTTTTTAGGCCCTCAAAAACAAAAAACTTTAGCTTTATTGGATTCGGGGGCATCTACTTGTTTTTTAGATGAAGAGTTTGCTAAACGCCACAAGATCCGTTTAGTACAGAAGTCCAAACCTGTTCACGTAGAGGTGATAGATGGACGACCCTTATTGTCAGGCAACGTTACCCACGAATCAGAACCTATAGAAGTGGTGTTTAAGGACCATAGTAGTCACGTTGTTTTTAATATTATTAGAACCCCATCAAGCCCTGTTATCCTTGGTCTTTCTTGGTTAGAAGATCATAATCCGTCCATTGATTGGAGGCTACGAAGGATAACATTTCATGAAAAAAATAATAATAAACCTGTTGGTAGAACCTACATGAAGAAATCCAT